AGGTTTATAACATTTACATGTTATCTTAAGATGGGATCTTCCCCAGAAAATTCCTAAGGTTTATAACATTTACATGTTATCTTAAGATGGGATCTAACCCGGAAAATTCAGGAAGGTTTATAACATTTACATGTTATCTTAAGATGGGATCTTCCCCATAAAATTCCTAAGGTTAATAACATTTACATGTTATCTTAAGATGGGATCTTCCCTAGAAAATTCCTAAGGTTTATAACATTTACATGTTATCTTAAGATGGGATCTTCCCCAGAAAATTCCTAAGGTTTATAACATTCGCATGTTATCTTAAGTTGGGATCCTCCAAAAAAATGCATGAAGCTTATAACATACAATTTGGGATTTTTCCCGTAATTCACCAAAAATTGTAACATTAATATGTTACCTTAATTTGGGATTCCTCTCAGAAACTTTCCATGACATTACTGAAGATGGGATACTCCCCATACCATAAACAAGAATTCATAGCGTTATCATACGAAGACTTTCCTCAAGCTAAAATTAAGGATCCTTCCTGAAATTTGACAAAATAGAGACAAATGAAGATCCTTCCCAGCAAGCTTCTAAAGCAAAGATCCTTTCACATGATGGCATAAAGATCATACGAAGACAGGTTTCATCTATCCTTATTTTTGAAAAACTCTAAATAAAGACTGAGGATCTTAAACTTTTTTAGGATCCCGAATTGTAATTAATTGGTTATCAGAACTTAAGTCTTTAAGCTTAAAAGATTATACGAAGACAGGGAATTCATGATTTCAATTTTTTCCTAAGATCACCAGGTTTCATCTATCCTTATATTTGAAAAACTCTAAATAAAGACTGAGGATCTTAAACTTTTTTAGGATCCCGAATAGTAATTAATTGGTTATCAGAACTTAAGTCTTTAAGCTTAAAAGGATTACTTATGATTTATAAAGAAAATTTTGCCTTAGGGTTGTTCACATGAACCAAGTTTTTTAGGATCCTAGTTATATAAGGATCCTAGTATCATAATAATTATGCAGGATAATCGAGAAAGAAATATGTAAAGGAAGCACGACCATTGCATTCAAAAGGGGTTGCACACCAACCCAACAACAAAAAATTTAATTGTCTTACATTACTAAAACAACAAAAAACTTAAACTAATTTCCTACAGGCCTAGACCTTAGCTTGGTCATCATCAGCCCCATTCTTCTTCTCCTCTTCTGTGGGTTGTGATCCAGGATCCTCAGTAGCAGTGGCAGGCTTGCCAATTATTTTGGCTAGTGCCTCGCGCCATCCAGCTACGTTCCAAGATCCTGAATTATCAAGATCTTCAGCCAACTTGATCTTGGCCTCCCAGATAGCCACCGCCGCACTTGGCTTTGCATCAACAATCATCTCCTCGATCTCTAGGGTGTGCTCCTCCTCCTTCTCGGTTTTCTCTTTGATCAACAACTTAATCCTCTTGAGGAAATCTTCATTAGTCGCCTTCCACTCCTTCTCCCGCTCCTTCAGAACTCGCTTAGCCTCCTAAACCTGGATCTTTAAATCAACTACTGATTGGGAAACATGAGCGGAAACCTGAAATAAGCATGGAATTAGTAGAGACTAGTAGAACTTAGAAACTAATATAACACTAACACTTAAGACTTGATAAAAGGAAAACAACTTTTGAAGCGACTCTTCGGCTCCATGATTCTCCAAGTTTAGATCCGTGGCTTCAGAGGTCTTCCTTTTATGGGAACCTGGGGTTTTCACAGTACGGTCGATGAGGGACTTCTTAAGAGGAAGGGGCAAGGCAACTTTCTCCCTCTTGGCTATGATCAAGCCGCTGGACACATCATCTTCAAGATCAGATAAAGCGAATCGGGTATTAGAACGGATAACCTTGGATCCTGCACACCACATAAGATCCATATCAATTCAAGATCATCATTAACTCAGGATCCTCATCGATTTCAAACTATCACAAAAAATACAAGAGTTCTTACCAATAGCCATTGACGCGGTGGTGGATGAACCTTCGTGGAGACTAGAGTAATCGAACCTGAAGGACCTGTCAGCTGCAGATACAGTGAAAAGCTTCTTTATCTTCTCTTCGGTATCCCTGAAGATAGGAATGAATTCTTAAAACTTGAAAGCTACAAAACACCAAACGAAGTAATGAAATGTGAAATCCAGGATCCTCAATACAAGGAAAAGTTATTCCTACCCTTTTTAACCCAAGACTTCGGTAGGGAATCCCCACCAGGAATCGAATCATGTTTTACAAAGAAGTATTTCTCATTCAGAGCACCGTCGTTATGTTTCATTTTCAGAACAAAAGGGGATTTGTGGGGTTTGAGCCTAAGAAGAAAACGGAAGGTCCCAAAGGTAGTGAGATCATACACGTGAGCCAACTCATCCAAACCTATATCTAGACCTCTGGACTAGTTCAGTTTCTCAATCTAAAATATGATTCTCCAGACAATGGGCATAGCTTGGATGTAAGAAATTTGGGTGACTTCGAAGAACTTGGAGATAATCCCCAAAAAGGGTATTTCAGACCCAAACTAAAGGGATATCCGGGAAAGCAAACCCAAGATGAGGAAGCAAAGTAAGGTTGGAGTTTTGGATCGAAGGGTTTAAAGACAACTTTATTAGAGAAAGCCCCAACTGTTTTCAACGACTCGATATCATCGTCGTCGGAAGAACAGATCTCATCGTATGATAAGATCCTTTGGTTGACAAAATCATCCTCAGTAGACACGAGGATGTTCTTACGAGATACGATCATTTTCTTGCCCATTGTTACTGAAAGGAAAAATTAAGGAGAATAAGAGAGAAATGTTCCTTCAAAAGACGACTTGACGAAAGCTTAAAGACGCACATAAGAGTAGCCCTAATCGATTGTCTCTATTTATGCTAATGGCAGAAGAAAGAGAAAGATTAATTAGACCGGTTATGATGACTCTTGAACGGATAAATCCTATCCGTTAGGGTTTAAAATTCAAAACTCTTTATCATATTTATTTCTTTTTATTTTTATTTTTTAAAATTATTCCTTTGAATTTTAGCAAACTAACTCCAAAATATTTCGCAAAAATAATTTGGGGGCAATTGTTAGGGCTAGGATCTCGGAACTACTATGAGATCCTCAAAGGCTCAGGATCCTCGAACCTCAGGATCCCAGATATACTTCAGGATCCTGACTGATATTTTTTAATATTTATAACAACAATATATTCTTTTGTCTTTCTCACATGTGCAAAATTAACCAATCAAAGTCACACTCTCAACGAATAGTCGTCACAACCATGCAAAAGACCCGGAGGACCAAGTCAAGCAACGACTATAAGTTGATCTCGGGGGATACCGAAATTTTCAGAGTTCTAGTTATTAGCCTTTGACTATATAAATCACTTGTATTCATCACACTACACACGATTTTTGGCAGTATACTAGCACTTGTACTCGTACTCATTATATTTTCTCTGTAATCATTCATTTCAATCAATAAAATCATTAAGGCAGGTGATCATTATCACCTCCCAAGGTTTTATGTCGGAGATCCTAGCAAGGATCAAGAGCTTTCCTTGTAAATCTATCGTGTAGCTTTGTTTTGATTTCCTTTATACTTCACTAACAACACCACAACCTCTCATACACTTTGGTTGATATCCACATAGTTGATTTTTGACCAAAACAATGAGGAAGACATGAATTTTCATTGAGAGAAATGAGCTCCATTAAAAGTTACTTGCTTCGTGTGTCGTTTGTTTTTAAATAGAATTATGTCTAATGCACAATCTTACAATTAGAGAGTTGTTTTGTCCTTGATCTTATGCCCCTTTTGCGTTAATTCACAGGAAGACACTGGCCATTTTTTCTTTGGTTGTCCTTATGTGAGTGAAGTTTGGAAATGATTTGTTAACCGATCAAAGTTGTTATGTTCTCATCCTTTGGATAAAGTGAGTTTGATTACTGATGTGTGCTCCATAAATTTGGACAAAAAGAAGAAGAGGTCGTTGTTGACTCTTGTTTTCTCATAAGGCTGGCTTTAATTCGATTAATTTTTTTGATCGGTGTTTTTCCCCTATTAACTTTGATTATATGATGTAATGATTCTAATGGATCACTAGTTTTCCTTAAGGCTATCCGGAGTGGATGAGATTTCCACGCGTGAGTTGCTGATTTGGCACCCTGGAGACGGGTGAACACCGACCCCATGGTGGGTGGGTTGGGTGTGATGTAGGTGGTAGGACGGACAAAGACGTGCATTTTGATTGGCTGAGCTTAATTTTTGAACGTTGACACCGTTTGAAAGCATTTAATAAAAAAAATCTATTCATTATTAATTTAATTTCTCCCTGTATATACATTCATTTTACACATTTTTCAAAAACAAAACAAATACACTCTTTCAAAACAAACACACATTCAACAAAAAATAGATAATTTTTAAATTTTTTTATGTTTTTTAAGTAATGTAATGTTTTATTTGGTATGTTTTATGTTTTTTTTGAGCAATTTAGGTTTTAAATTTCTATGTTTTTAATTAATGAAATGTGGTTTTATTTTTCTATGTTTTTAAAATATTTATTTATGTTTTAAATTATGTTTTTTTATTTAACTTAATCATAAAAAATAAAAAGTAAAAAAAATGAATATTGTGAAGTGGTAACCATTTCCAATGTCTAGTGAATTGGTGATGAAGCTGACGTGACATTAAGTTGACAACGTTTTTCCGGTTGTTTGGCTGTGATCACTCCCCAAAACCTAATAATATACTGATGCCCGTTCGAAAAAAAAAAAAAACTAAACTAAAACAAATTATCAATACCATATTTTTGGTATTTGAAACTTACCACTAACGAACTATTGAGTATAATGGTCGATTTCTTTTGGTTTGAGAAAAAAATTGTCAAATTATTAAATTCGATTCAATAAACCATGATGATCAAGTAAATTAGATCCTAACTTGTTTGTTATTGAAGATTAACAAAAAATAACATTAATGGCATCAAGATTTGAACAAGAGAAGGCACCGATGGCGTTGCGTGCGCCATTGGTTGACCGCTAAACCTCTTCTTCTATCCGTCTGATTCAAAGCAAGCAACCCTCTCATATTTGGCATCTTGCAATGAAACACAATCAAAGGAACCGACCCTTTGACCATCGTGGCGTTAAAATTAACGGCACACAAAGCAGCCTAACATGTTACGCAATCATAAATAATCGATCAAGAAAAGAAAGTAATCATTCACCAAACCCCCTAAATCGAAAACTTTAACGTGCAGGTTTCATCCTCTTCCCGTTTGTTCCTCTTCTTTTCAATATTTTCTGCTCCACACATGTATGATTATGATTTGTAGATATAAGCACACACAGATTTGATTCGTATAGTAAATTTATAGCTTTTAAGCCCACTGTTCTTCAATTTTTGTGTATAATTATAGTTTTATAGCACTTTTTCTCTTTAATGGAGGTCTCATCGTCATCATGTTCCTCCCCACTTTCGATTCATCGACTCGACTTCGCCCCACCTATTTTGACCCGACCCGTATCGCGTTTCTCTTCCAAACCAGTTACCCGATTCACCCCTTCCACCACCTGTAACACTTCGTCTTCTTCTTGTTCTTCTGCATCGTCGTCTTATTTTGGACTTTCCATCTCTCATAAACCCTTGAAATTGAAGAATAATCACACCCTTCCTCGAAAAAGGCGTGGGTCGTTCTATATTGTAGCTGGTGTGTTCGAGAGATTTACCGAAAGAGCAATCAAAGCTGTGATGTTTTCTCAAAGGGAAGCTAAAGCTTTGGGCAAAGACATGGTCTTTACGCAGCATCTGTTATTGGGTTTAATCGCTGAAGATCGTTCTCCTGGTGGCTTTCTCGAATCCGGCATCACCATAGACGCTGCTCGTGAAGCTGTTCGGAGTATCTGGGATGAAGAAGAAGAGGGTGATAAAAAGGAGCAAGTCACATCAACCACGTCCGCCACAGATGTGTCGTTTTCAAATAGCACAAAAAGGGTGTTCGAGGCTGCAGTTGAGTATTCGAGAACTATGGGTTATAAATTCATCGCTCCTGAGCACATTGCCATCGGATTGCTCACTGTAGACGATGGCAGCGCCAGTCGTGTCCTTCAGAAGTGAGTGAAACCAAAGCCATTTTCATATGAAGCTTGCGTTTGAAAGTCATTAATGGTGGAATTCTATTTTCGCAGATTAGGAGCAGATTTAAACCACCTCGCAGATGTTGCAGTCTCTAGACTGCAAGGAGAGCTTGCCAAAGATGGAAGAGAACCCACGAAAATGTTAAAAAATTCCTCTTTTGGTAAAACATCAGTCAGATCCCCTGAAAAAGCAAAAGGTAAAATATAATAATATTATGTCTTTTTGTATCCATGGTGCTATCTTTTTTGTTCTATAAACATGTTGGTGTTAGATAGTGACATTTTCTTGGCAATTTTTTTTCAGGGAAAAGTGCATTAGATCAATTCTGTGTGGATCTTACTGCTAGTGCTAGTAATGGGCGCATTGATCCTGTGATTGGGCGAGATAATGAAGTTGAAAGAATAGTTCAGATTCTTTGCAGAAGAACTAAAAATAATCCCATTCTTCTAGGTCAAGCTGGGGTTGGAAAAACAGCCATTGCAGAAGGGCTAGCCATTCGTATATCTGATGCAAATGTCCCTGTCTTTCTCATGGTAATTAGTCCTTTTCGCCCCTGTTTTTAGTTAGCATGATATGACATAACAGAATAGGCTGTCATTGATATGACAGAACAGAACATGTTGCACTGCATTTGACTATGACATGACAGAACAAAACATGTTGTACCGCATTTGATTATGATATGATAGAACTTGTTGCACTGCATGCAGTCGACTGAGACTGATACAATATTCAAAAAAATTTGTCCAACTGCAAAAGGTGGGACAAGGACTTGCTTTAGATATCTTGTTTGTGGAAAAGACGTGAATGCCCTCCTCATCCCCATAATTTAAGATAACCCTAGAAAATTTGTCTTTTGGGTTGTGTTTTTTTGTTAATTTTTTTATTGGTTTAACTGCAGACAAAACGAGTTATGTCATTGGATATCGGTTTGTTAATTTCGGGTGCAAAGGAGAGGGGAGAATTAGAGGGACGTGTAACGAGTTTAATTAGGGAGGTAAAAGAGTCAGGTAAGCATAATACATTAAATCTTGTTAGGTTAATAATAATAATTGTGTATTTTGATCATTTCTTTTATTTTATTGGTGTTTTAGGTGATGTGATACTTTTCATTGATGAAGTCCATACACTGATTGGGTCAGGGACTGTTGGAAGAGGTAACAAGGGATCTGGACTTGACATTGGTAATCTTTTGAAGCCCTCTCTTGGGAGGGGTGAATTACAGGTTTTTATTATTCTCCATTGTTCATTATACTAAAATTGAACTTGTGTAATGTGTTATAACTAATAACTTTTAAATTTTAGGTCATATTTACCATTTTTTAAGAAAAAGCGTTGTTATTTCAGTGTATTGCTTCCACAACTATGGATGAGTACAGATTGCATTTCGACAAGGATCAAGCATTGGCACGTAGATTCCAACCTGTCATAATTGAAGAACCAAATCAGGTAATATATATTTAAAAAAGAAAAAAAATAAACAATTATACCAAAATTCTTTCTTAAAAATATTCATTCTATGAAAATACAGGAAGATGCAGTGAGGATTCTAATGGGGCTACAAGAAAAATACGAGGCTCATCACAAATGTAAATACACATTGGAAGCCATAAATGCAGCTGTGTACTTGTCATCAAGATACATTCCTGATAGATATCTTCCAGATAAAGCCATTGATCTCATTGATGAAGCAGGAAGTAAAGCAAGAATGGAATCTTTCAGAAAGAACAAGGAACAACAAATTGATATACTTTCAAAGTCCCCTAATGACTATTGGCAAGAGATTAAAGCAGTTCAAGCTATGCATGATGTGGTAAGTGACTACATTACATTTTCACTGCTATAATTGGATAGATTTTTTCAAGTTTAAAAAAACATTAATAAATGAAAAACAACATTATCCAAATTCAGGTTTTGGCAAGCAGAAGAAGCAATCTTGTTGACCCAACAGACACAACCAGTGATGCTGCTTTGACTTCTTCGACATCTGATGATCAAGAGTATGCTTTTTATATTCTTACAAACTTCTACTTGAATTTTTTTCGTGGTGTTACTTTTATATAAATTATGATTTTTTTGAATTACTTTTTCAGGCCTACAATTGTGGGGGCTAATGAAATAGCAGCAGTTGCTTCACTATGGTCAGGGATTCCAATTCAACAGCTGACAGCTGATGAAAGAATGTTATTGGTGGGACTTGAAGACCGATTAAAAGAAAGAGTTTGTGGTCAAAATGAAGCTGTGGATGCCATTTGTCGCGCTGTGAAGCGATCTCGTGTAGGATTAAACGATCCTGACCGTCCGATTGCTGCCATGCTTTTCTGTGGGCCCACGGGAGTTGGCAAAACCGAACTCACAAAAGCCCTAGCAGCTTCCTACTTTGGCTCGGTAAAAACCATTTTTTCTAATTTATATAGATTTACAATAACACCCTTTATATTTTTTAGTTTTTTTTCCTTCTAAATTTGTTTTACATCTTTTTTTTTTTTTTTTTTTTTTTTACAGGAAAGTTCGATGCTAAGATTGGACATGAGTGAGTACATGGAACGCCATACAGTCAGCAAACTAATAGGCTCACCACCAGGGTATGTAGGGTATGGTGAAGGCGGGACCCTTACGGAAGCCATCCGTAAACGGCCTTTCACAGTGGTGCTTCTTGACGAAATAGAGAAAGCCCATCCTGATATCTTCAATATTCTTCTTCAAATTTTCGAAGATGGTCACCTCACTGATTCCCAGGTTCGTGAACCTAGGAAATCAATAAATGCACCAGTCGTCCGAATATTCCGATCCGGATGACTGGTGCATTTATATTAGATGACTGGCGCATTATGCGCCAGTCATCTGATATATGTCATATATCTCATTAGATTTTGTCATGATTTCAGGGTCGTAGGGTATCGTTCAAGAACGCGTTAGTGGTGATGACTTCTAACGTGGGGTCCACAGCTATCGCAAAGGGGAGACACAATTCCATCGGTTTCCTACTTGATGACAACGAGTCTTCATCTTCTTATGCCGGATTAAAATCACTAGTAATGGAAGAACTCAAAACGTATTTTCGTCCCGAGTTACTAAACAGGATAGATGAAGTTGTCGTGTTCCGTGCACTCGAAAAGACGCAGGTTTGTCTTTGTCTTTGCCCCTCTAGGACATGACATGACAGAGCAGAACAGATTGTACTGTGTTTGACACTTTAACTTGACCGAGAGAGACTGACATTGTTTATTTTGTCTTGATTGCAGATGCTTGAGATATTGAATATGATGTTGGAAGAGGTGAAAAAGAGGCTTGTTTCATTTGGAATTAATCTGGAAGTGTCTGTACCAGTATTGGAGCTTATATGTGAACAAGGTTTTGATAGGAGTTATGGGGCAAGACCTCTTCGAAGGGCGTTGACTTTGATAATTGAAAATCCATTGAGTGAATCACTTCTTTCTGGAGAGTTTGAGAAGGGGGACACTGCTGTGATTGAGATTGATGATTCGGGAAATCCGGTGGTTAGTAACAAGTCTCGCCGGAATGTTTACTTGTCTGACACATCAGCATTGTCATAGGTGAATATATGTAGAAACCCATTAATTATTATATTATTTAATGTACAAAGTGATTCATATTGATTGTGTATATGTTAGAGGAATGTTGTGAATTCATTGAGGTTCAGTAAATATATAATTCATAATTTATTGTTTAACGCTATTCCTGTTGAGAAGTTAATTTCTGTTTAGATTTTTTGGCTGAATTTTGTGATTAGGCTGTAAGCTTTAAATAGAGTGCATGCTTGTTTAATGTTCTTTTTTGTAGCTTTGCTGGCCTGGCTCCAAAACTAGAAAAATAAAACAATGGTCGATTACAAACTTTTTCCTGGAATAACATCAAGTTTCATGAAGTTATTTTATTTTCGTGAATATGATATATTTTTCTGTGGTGAAATGAAGTTATTTTAGCAAAATTGAAAAATGAAGTTATTTTAGCAAAATTGAAAAGTTCGCAAAATTGGATTAGCACGGTTTATAAAGGATGCCATGCAACAAAATTGGTTAAGACTTATATCGTCAAAGACCAAATAGAAGTTATTAATTAATTAATTTTTTTTGTAAGTTCAACTTCCATGTGTAAATTTTTGAGGCTACGTGGAGTGGCCAACTAGGAATTTTGTGTGTTAGGGGTCAAAAATCTATTGTGGGCATCCTTATAAACAAACCTTTGTATATCTAAATATTTCAACCAAATTAACACTATTTTTTTTATTCAAAAATCCATTGGGTAATTGGCAATTGGTGCTTTTATTTGCCCATCGGCACAGGAGGCTGTCGTGACACGACGCACACCATCGCGTTTATTCGGCATGCTGAGGTGACAGAGTCATCTCTCTCTCTCTCTCTCTGTGTGTATGTGTGTGTGTTGACCAGCCAATAACTATTTTATTTGATTTTTTCTTCAATTCTAATACACTATAAATACCAATCTAATATACCATTTTATACCACACCAACACTTTCTTTTTAACTATTCTAAAATGTCTTCTTCATCTTCATCTTCAACTTCGAACTTTTGACATGGTGCTACAAGCGGCGATGGGCGTTGCTAAAACGGTGGCGAATAGGATTTTTTTACGACGGTTTGAAATGCATAAACATTTATTTTAGTGTATAGTCGAACATGTGACGAAAGCGTGTTCATATTTCCAACAATCTCCTGATGCAAGAGATATAGTAGGTCCTAATCCATTGCAAAAATACACAACCACGCTTCATATGATAGCATATGACACCCTACCGATGGACGAGATGAGAATCTTAGAATGTGTACCGTACAAGAAAGTCTTCACAAATTTTACAAGTATGTCATGATGTTGTATGGTCCACGATATATGTGTAAACCTATTATACTTCCAATGACATCCAACAAATGCATGCTCATCATGCAAATGTACATGAATTTCTAGAATGTTAATAAACTTGAATGGCATCCATTGAGAATGAAGAAATTCCCCGAATGCATACCATGCAGTGGCAGATTCAATGTATGGGAGGGGGGGGGGCATGGACCCCACTTAAAAGTGGGCCCCACCAGGAATACATATTAAAAAAAAAACTCACCTTATGGTTCCCACTTACAATAGATTGGTCCCCACTACTCCCACTCATCCTCACTTCTCTCTTTTCTGATTTTTCACTCCGGATTTTTCACTTCTTTCTTCAGAGTTTTGACCTAGCATACCAAATGCCCTGAGTCACCAAATGCACTGAATCAGTGACAAAATTAAACACTCCACAACCACTGGAATTTAGTACTCCACAGCCGCCGACATCGTCACAATCGCCGGAACCTATCACTGCTGCAGCGCTGCCAACGCAGTGACGGACTTCGTTCATTACCAGCTGAGCAACACCATCTACCCTCGCGCGCAAACGGACCAGCATTGTCTGATTTCGCTCGCCACCATCGTTGTAAGTTTATTCCCTTTATTTAGTTTGATTTTCCCAAATGGGTTTGATTTGATGAACTGATTTGAATGGTTTATGAATTCTGATTTGGGATTTTTGATTTGTAAACTGATTTTATTTTGATTTAACACTCTCAAAAGATTAATCTGTGCAATGGATTTGTTAGTTTGGCTTGGTTTGCTTTTGATGGTTATCTGGGACAGGAAACGAACTAAGCTTAAGAGAGATGGAAAAAATTAATTTTCTTTAATTGTTTTGTTTAATGGTGTTTTCTAATTTAGTGCTTTGTTTTGTTTAATGTTTAATGGTTTTGGTAATTGTGTTTAACATTGTTTAATGTTTTTTTTTGTTTAACCCAATAACAGGTGCAATGAAAAGATTTTACAGTAGAACATCCACATCAGGACCATAATCAGGACCATCTTCAGCTGAAATTCCGCAACCTAGTTTTATTCCACCGATACCGAGTGAAATTGATTCAAGTGACATTCCTTGGGATCCTGCTGATAGAATTTTTTTTTCAGATTATCACCCTAATCAAAGGGACAATATAAGAAGAAAATATTTGATTAAAAGACCATGTCAAGATGCAAGATTTGCTACTTTAAAGAATATATATGACCTTGCTAAAGTGATGGTGGAAAGCAATATGCATCTTAACTTTCCTTTGGTTTACGGTTATTGAAGTTGTCATTGCTTTTGCCGGTTGCAACCGCAACGGTGGAGAGATGTTTTTCTGCGATGAAGCTTGTCAAATCAGATTTGCGGAATCGGATTTCGGATGAATTTTTAAATGGTTGTGTAATTTGCGCGCTTGAAAGAGAAGGATTTTCCAAGGTTACCAATGAAAGTATTATCAAACGTTTCTTAGCTATGTCCCCTCGTAGATTTCAATTGTAAAATGACATTAGTTGAATGTTTTAATGTTATTCTACTTTTAAGTATTTATTATTATTATTATTGTTATTATTAATTTACATAGTCAACGGTCAACAATGAACCCCACTTGACTTCCGGGCTGGATCCGCTACTAATACCATGGTCGATACATATTACGATCATACTTGAACTCACATGATTTATGGATATGACATGCCTTATTTGGCGCTCCCGGTTCGCTTATGATATTAATGCTAACCATCGATATTCAATGACATATATAACAAGGCTGCACCAAATTCTTCATTTGTAGTGCATGAATCGATCCACCGACACAACCACTATATTTGGTAGCGATGAGTACATGGCAAGAAGAAAACTAGTACGTAATATTGAGATCCATCATGATCTTCATAAAGACTTGACAAAACATATTTGGACGGTTGAGAACAAAACATGACGGATAAAAAAACTATCTTTGTCGAGATCATTGTGTTCACCCTTTAGGACTACATGGCATCACAAATCTATACAACTAATGACACATAATGAGTTAGGAAGAACATATTGAGCTGAAAAAACAAGGTCATGTTGACCCCTATAACTACATGTAAGAAAACATCTTAAACAAAAAAATTAAACAAAGGGACAAACCTACATGATATGCATTTCGTGATGCTCTACCTATTTTGAGATGCATATATGAACTTGTGAGACTCTGTGTGGCATCATGTGATATGTGATGCTCGATTTCATGCTGAATAAATGGATTTTTTGGGCTCGGTTTCAAGATGAAGGTCTAAATCTTTGAGGCTCTACGTTGGATTTTGGAATTTTGAATTGTTAGATTAGTCTTTTTGGGTTAGAAAATGGCTTTAGAATTTACACTTTAAGATATTAAAGACCAAATTAAAGAGAATGGATGAAATCGGATTAGTATACACTCTTATGATCCAATGTGCGATCCTATGAACTTAAGTTTGATCTTGCTTCAAAACCAATATTATTAAGGTGGTAGAAATTCATTTCCTCCAACCCATTATGAGTACGCTTTAAAATCATGGTTTTTTTTTTTAAAGATCAAACGATACTACGAGTGTACGATTAAAATCCTGATCTTACTAAAACAACAAACCACCACTCAAATGTAGGTTAAAGTTTAGAACGGCTGAATAGGTTAAATCTCATTTGAATCCATTTTATATATATATATATATATATATATATATATATAGAATCTATATATATATATATATATAATATATATATATATATATATATATATATATTATATCTATATAAATATCTATATCTACTGTATTTTAAACCAAAAATAATATATTTTAGTAATTTAGAAAAATTTCCCATGCAAGCTACAAATGGGATGCTATCACAGGGGGCGTTGAGGGGGGCAAAGTGGGCAGCTGCACATGGCCCAATTTTTTTTATTATATATTTTTATTTAAAAATAAAAAATTATAATAACGATAAAAACCTTTTTTTTATTGTTGGTCATAGGCCTTTAAAAAAATTTAACTTCTTAGAACCGGCCCTCGTGTTATGGAAGCAAATAGAGTACAAGTTTACTCCCATCTTACAAGTTGACGTATTACACTTTTGGTGCAGTCCATCATCAATTTTCGCACCAGCCCTCAACCTCGTGATTTTCGTCATGCCCACGTTCTCCCCCAATTCAACAACTCCAGTTTTTGATTCCCCTTTTGTTTAGACTTCAAATTTCACATACGAAGTGTTCATTTTAACCAGGCAATCCGCAAATGGCCGTGTCTATGGGTTCTTACGGTTGTATTGCTGGGGTTTATGACGATTTGGTTGCATCTCCAAAGCAAGCCATCTCTAAATCCCCAATTTCTACCTTTTCTTTTGGTTCGGATCCTGCTAGACACTTCTGTGTTTCCCCCAAATCCAGGTATGCTACTAAATCAACTTATAAATTCCAACCCCAGTTCTATTTCAGTAAGCTGTCTGCATTGTGTGATTTTTGATCTCTCAAGATTTCTAAGGTTTCTTTCTGTCTGTAAATACATGAAATCTCGAATTTCAAAGTTTAATAACACTGATTTGACCACTTTTTAGCTAATTTTTGTAGCTATCGTCTTAATTCAAAATGGATTAGCAACTTTTAAGTATAATTCAGAATTTCACAGCCGATATACAGTTTCATAAGTAAGAAAATGAAAATAGAATAATCGTTATCGTTAGGAATTTAGGATCCAAAGCACCATCGATTTCTTTTATAACACGCATCACGGATTCAGGATCTACGTTTTTTTGTTTTTTGTTTTGTTTTGTTATCCTGATGTGGGTTCTTACCCAGATTATCATATTCACTGAGAACTATGATTCCAAAAGCTTCAGCCACAGCTTTAGAGGTATCAAGAAAGAATTTGTTCTAAAACTTCAATTTTGTCTTGTAAACTTATCTAATTTCATTCGTGTCTTCAATCTGGTGTCGAACAGGATGAAATTTATCAGGAAACTGATGATGTTCCGATTCCAAAGGTGATCATAGACCAGGATTCGGATCTCAATGCAACTTTCGTACAGATTACCTTCGGGAATCGCCTTGGAGCTCTTCTTGACACTGTACGTCTGCCCATCAATTTTGTTTTTTCATCATTAGAAACTTATATCCATCTAACCGTTTTGTGATTGTGGGATAAATGTAAAAATATATGTACAGATGAACGCTCTGCAAAATCTTGGACTAAATGTTGTGAAAGCAAATGTTCATCTAGATTCTTCAGGGAAACACACCAAGTTTTCAATCACTAAAGCGTAAGTATTGAGCTATATCTATCTTTTTATCAAATTACATCATTGTTTTCTTACATAATTTCAGCAAGAACATTTATAAAAAACATCATGAATCTATTATTAATAAAGCATCAATTTTTAAAATTTTGATTAATTTATATCCGGTTTCTTTGCAGCTCAACTGGGCGTAAGGTTGAAGACCCAGAGTTGCTTGAAGCAATTCGTTTAACAATTATTAGCAATCTTCTTAAATATCACCCAGTATTCTCCTCGTCTTGATCTTTATAAAATAGGCAAATTACAGAAAAACCATTATATTTTGGACAGTTTTGTTGTTTAATAACTTATACTTTATTATTTCCAATCAAACCATATAAGTTTCATACAATTTGTAAGAGGTCAAAATGCTAATCTGGAAATTTGTTAATTTGAAAAAAAGTCAGAAACTTTTATGGTTTTATTGGAAAAAAAAAAAAACGTATTAGTGGTTAAACTGCAAAACTGCCGAAAATATAATATATATATTTTTAACTGTAATGACTAATGTGCCCTTACGAACTTTATGAAATTGATGGCCTATAGGAATCAAGTGCCCAGTTAGCAATGGGGGAAGCCTTTGGAATCGAGGCACCAAAAAATAAGGTACTAATCAATAATCATCACCTTTTAACATATAATTAAGCCAGCAACTGCATTACCTTTTAAATTTAAACTTTATAGAATTTTTGTATGTAAAGTTGTGCATTTAACTATTTATCAAATATTTTTTTTCTCCTAATAATTGGTGGACTATTCCAGATTGATGTGGACATTGCAACACGCATACATGTGTATGACGATGGCCCTAATCGAAGGTCAAATAGGAAACATATAGATATTATGTATTTCTGTTATCAAAAGAGAAAAAAAAAAGTGATGAACATAGAGTGTTGGATTATGCAGTTTGCTCTCAGTAGAAACCGCAGATCGGCCTGGATTACTGGTAGATCTTGTAAAGATTTTCACGGACATAAATGTTGCAGTGGAGTCAGGCGAGTTTGACACTGAGGTAATCTGAAACCTGTTATTGGGTTCTGGGTCCCACAATGACTAGACACTGTCCTATCTGTCTCTATATACATGGGAGTCTTTTTGAAAGTAAATCAAAAAACTCTTCGTGTAAAGTAGTTAAAAAGCAATCTTTTTCTGTTATTCTTTTAGCAAACCCTGAGCTGGCCCACACTGTCTGTGTATGTAAATAAGTTACACAGTGGTCCATCAAGGGAGCCCAATTTACATTGAATCTGTTCGAGACTTGATGACTTATTAAATTGCAATGTAGGGGTTGTTGGCAAAGGGTAAATTTCATGTGAATTATAGGGGAAAATCACTTATTGAGCCACTTCAACAGGTGATTTGAGAATTCACAATCACAGCATGATTTTTAGGGTGTAAGATTTTAAGTTTAAGAAACATTTTGTAGGTTTTGGCAAATAGTTTACGATACTTTCTGAGGAGACCAACAACAGAGGATTCGAGTTTTTGAAGGATTCTGCAAGATGCAAGTTTATACAATTACAACTTGCTTATCGTTACTTCACTTTTGTATTTACAATTTTACATATTTCTGAAACGTTTGTGCATTACGTTGATGCTTCTTAAATCTTACTCCATGCTACTTGTTTTGTTACTTTAACTTGTGCAAATTGCATGTAGAATGTTTCTATTTTAGGAAACATACGTTCAGAATAAACGTTTAACATAAGATTATACGTTTGTAACTAAATGCAGGATCATATTACCAATAAGTCAATTTTTAATTTAGGTAACCAGGTTTATTAATTGAGTATAAACTCGTAACAAAGATCTTAATTATTGTTTTGAAAGAAATGAAATAACTTTCTAAACTATAAATCTCATGGTCCATGTGATTATTGATGGTTTATTAATTGAGAATAAAGTCAATTATTATAAGGTAGAAGGAAACTGTCCTTAACCTTATCCGAACCTTGAGTTTATCTAGTTTTGTAGACTTCTAAAAGATTAAGGCAAGAAAAATCTAATAAACTCACAATATGTTCTTCCTCCCACTTGCGTACATATAAAACTTTGTCTGTGTATTATTCGGATGATAACCTAGCGATGTTTCTATCATTTTCTGATATTTTACACATTTGTGCTCACAAAATCTTGATTTAATAATACAAAATACACAAGTATTCTAGACTCGGTTTTGATTTTTTTGACAGAATATGTTAAAATTAGAATGGTCAAATACAAAAGTTACAATATTGCAATACGATATAATACTTTATGTTTAGAAGATGCATATAAGCATCATCTTAAATGGGGACAATTCGTGATTGGGTATTTGGGTATGGCATGAAAATGGATGAGATAATGAGTTGAGTTTTTGGGACATGGTGTAATGATGGCATGACTCATGATGGTAGTTATCAAGATTACACATTTGTGGGCAATATGAGAACTACTTCATGCAATCATCCTTTCAAGCCCATACATGGATCATGGATGTCTCCATCATCATTTTCGTCTTTTATATATATGATTGGTTTTATAACATTAATTTTAATGTTTTACCAATCTTGAAATTGGAATTATTTTATTTAATATTTTAAATGGGATTTTATTTTTGTTGTAGGTGACTTGTAGGATGGCCAAAATTAGAAGATATGATGATGTATGAGGCTCAAATGGTGCTAACCATTTTTCTTGGGAAACTAAACTGTCTCTTGTTGGCTGTTGCCTAATATATATATATATATATATATATATATATAAGATATATATATATATATAGATATATATATATATATATATATATATATATATAGTATATCTATTATATATATATATATATATATAAGGCAGAAAATAGAAAGCATGGTGGTTATAAAAGAGGGTGGAATGGTGAAGCTAAATGAGATATATAGATAGAATCGATTCTTGCAAGATGTCTACAACAATTGGAAAAGGAGCTCAAAACATGCATACCTTCTACATAAAGTAAGCTCTAATTACGTTATATACATTTCTTATTTTCTTTAAAGATATGAAGAAGATTATGTATATATAAGTTCTAGATTAGAACTTAAAATCAGATGTGTTGTAAATTAGTAGCATCCAATTGTATGTATTTTCAGTCTTTTGTGTGCTAAATATATAAATTTTTTTTTCTCTTTATACGTAACATGTCTACAGTGATGAATAAACATATAACCTTGGGCTACTTTGGAAAATAATTTGATTTATTCTTGATAATGGTTCAGATGTTATTTTACAAATAAAAAGATAATCAAGGAAACAGCAAAATTGATAAATTAATTATGGAGTTTTTTTCTATGGTTTGATGAAATAATGAAGTAATGAAATGTATTGAAGAGATATAACAGGGGTATATGTGAACATGGTACGGTACCGATTTATTTTTTCTTTAAACTATGTACAGTAATTTTTGCTACCAGTATCATACTAAGTATACTTCGTACCAACTCGTTTTGGCTACCAACAAGTTTGGTTGGTACAAATTTGTAATCATATATATATATATATATATATATATATATATATATATATATATATATATATATATATATATATAGGTTGGTACAATATTATCAACCAAACATATTGACAACTTTTTTGGTTCGATTGATAACATGTTGGTTGGTTTTCTGCATATTTAACATTCATATTTAACAATGCTAAACAGGGGTACCATCTTCATTAATTAAAATAATATTGTAACTATTATTTAGTATGAGTTTTTATTAATACAACTGTTATCATTATTATTACCGTTATTATTGTCATTATATTGACACTATTATTAGTATTATCAATATTTTCATTATCACCAATTATTATTTATTAATTTAATATATATTTTACAAAAAAATCAATTATTAGTAAAAAAATGGAAAAATTAAATTCATAAATCTATTATTCATAATCTATTACAAATAGCGTTGATGTACCTAACTAAATTGCACATAATTGGTTCTAAAACCAATCATGATGGATTTTTGGATTTTAAAAGCCATCATAGAATCGTTTCCAATAATAATTACATGTTTTCGAAAATTTGAATTGATTTTGATTAAAATATTTGGAAGAAAACCAAAAAATTAGTCTTCAATATAGGTAAAAGGTTCCCTTACAATTTTACTAAAACTACAGGGTTTGTTTCTTTCATAAGATAATGTTGGATGAATTGTTTTTGAAACAATTGTTTTTCACGCATTCCATATTGAACGAGAATTAGAAATGAAAGAGGTAGCAAGGACTTATAAAAGTGAATGATTGACAACTATTTCTACCGATGTTACTTTTAAGTCTTCACCTTAGTCATTGAAAATTTATAACTTTAAAGTACAGCTAATAAATATTTGACGGGTATTGGTTTTGAAATGTCACAATTAATAAGTATTTTACTAGACTGTTCATCTATTTTGGGGAGGGAAAACCATTTTTTTCATAGATTTGGAAGGGAATCCCTAGTTTTTAAGGGCCAGGGGAGACCTATTTTAATTGATATCGATTGATGTGGTAAGAGAAGTATATCCATTGCATTTACATGGGAGTGATTAGTGTGCGATAACATCTTATTTATCCAAACAATAATAATAATAAATCTCAGTAATAAATTCTTAGAAATTTCACATTAGAATGACTTAGTTATTTAAATAAATAACTTATCAATATTATTACAAAACAATTTTACACTCACATAACGTATATAAATACAGTACATGAATACATTAAGTATCTTATAAAAAAATCATTTAACTAGTGTGATTCAAAACAAATAATTATATTTTAATACATTAATTTGATTTTTTTTATTTGTCAACTTCC